CTGTACATCTTTACAAGAACAAACAGCGTCCTCTTTCGCCCAAGGAGTGGCTGTTAGGCTTGAACTTCAGACCTTGCAGTACAGCACCTCCCATGAAGAAAAGGGGGTCTGCATTCCAAAGTGAGAAAGGAAATAAGAAGTCCAGAGACTGTTCTCCTCCAAGGACCTTCCCGCATCCTGTCCCTTGAGCTGAAAAGCCCCGGAAACAAATGGTGCAGCCTGGGGGGAGTGGATATACACTATCCCATATTTGAGAGAGCTTGTCTACAAATATTGGGCAGGGGAATGCAGAAAACCAACTCTCTTTTTTTTCTTAAATCATTTTGAGGGCTCATACAACTCTTATCACAATCCATGCATACATCAATTGTGTCAAGCACATTTGTACATTCGTTGCCTTCCTCATTCTCAAAATATTTGCTCTCCACTTAAGTCCTTGGTATCAGCTTTTCATTTTTCCCCCTCCTTCCCCGCTTTCCCCTCCCTGATGAACCCTCGAGAATTTATAAATTATTATTTTGTCATATCTTACACTGTCCGACATCTCCTTTCACCCACTTTTCTGTTGTCCTTCCCCCAGGGAGAGGGTTATATGTAGATCCTTATAATCGTTTCCCCCTTTCTACCCCATCTTCCCTCCACAGCTCCGATATCTCCATTCTCACCACTGGTCCTGAAAGGATCATCTGTCCTGGATTCCCTGTGTTTCCGGTTCCTAGCTGTACCAGTGTACATCCTCTGGTCTAGCCAGATTTGTAAGGTAGAACTGGGATCATGATAGTGGGGGAGAGGAAGCATTAAAGAATTAGAGGAAAGTTGTATATTTCATTGTTGCCACACTGCATGCTGACTGGCTTGTCTCCTCCCCACGACCATTCTGTAAGGGGGCGTCCCGTTAACCTACAGATGGGCTTTGGGTCTCCACACTGCACTCCCCCCTCCTTTACAATGATATTTTTGTTCTTTGATGCCTGATACCTGATCCCATTGACACCTCGTGATCACACAGGCTGGTGTGCTTCCTCTATGTGGGCTTTATTGCTTCTGAGCTATTTGACTGCTTGTTTACCT